GTGGGTGTGGGTGTGTGTGTGTTGGGTGGGAGCATGGGGGTGAGAGGGCGGGGACTGGTTCTGTTTTCCTCTTTGCAATTTGCTGCTCTGTTTGAGGTGGGGATATACATGCTCGGCCTGAATTAATTGCATAGCTTTGCAGTGACAAAGGTGACAGAGACTTTTGGGTTCCTTAAATCAGTGGCTCACAGTGGTTTGATACAGCTTAGTAGATGGCAGGTTTGCTGTCTTCTCAGAGACCTGGGATGTTATGACGAACAGAGACTCCATAATATCCCCAAAGCAAGCAAAAATAATAGTATCCTAGGAGACCTGGTTATAGACAGTGTTTTAAAAATAAGTGTAGTGATTAGTCTTGGTAAGCACTCTTTTTGTTTCCATTTTTCTTCTCTAATTCCCTGCTTTACCATACATTCACTGAGTGCTTATTTATGCCTAGCATTATGAAGAAAAGCAATGCCTCTCAAGAGTCCAGCAGTATTGTCCAACAGGAAATGACCAGAACTTCTGGACACCACCAGGCAGAGCTTCTTGATAAGGGAAAATGCTTTCTGCTGCAGGAATGTTGGTCACCAGGATTTGGCATCACAAAGTACCTTAAAGGCCATTATGTTCAACCTCCCTGCTCAGTTCTGGAGTCCCAGCCAACTGATCCAGGCAGCTGATCAAAGACAATTTGCATGAGGGACAAAGATAAGGATGACTTAGAAATGCTTACTTTTAAATTCCTCTTAACTTCTCAAGTACAACTTTCAATGGCTAGTTTTCCATGCTGTATCACAGTATTTCTGTTGACACCAGAGACTTTTCAGTTGGGTATCTACACCCGAGTAGATGGAGCAAACACTTTCTGGACCACAAAAAACTGCTTTAGGCTAGTAGCATCCCCGAATCCCTATGGATATGGACTATGTATTAACATTGAGTATATCATTTGGCTTAAAATTCTTTTAGACATTTACAGAGGTTAGCAAAAAGGCAAATGTGTATGCACAAGGATATCCTCTGAATATCACTCACTGAACAAGAGCATGGTGTGTGGGGTCAGAGGCCCTGCATTAGCTGTGTGACCTTCTAAATATCATTCACCTTCTGTCTGTCTTGTTTGGAAAAGGGACTGACAATTGTCCCCACTTCATAGGGTCTCTGTATCATCATGAGAATATGTAAAAGGTTCTTAGGATGGTTTCTGGTACACAGTATTTGTTTATAATAGTAGAAAAATTAGAAACAGCCTACCTATTCATTGATTTCATTTAAAAATATGGTATGGGACTGGGGATTTAGCTCAGTGGTTTCGCCGCCTGCTGTGCAAGTGCAAGGACCCAAGTTCAATCCCCGGTACCAAAAAAAAGAATTAGAAAAATTTAAAAAAACAAAATTAAATTAAAATATGGTATGTTTTAAAGGTATTCATGTATTAAGGGCAAAACCAAGTAGTTCATATAATAATATGGCAAGTACCCAACATCAACTATAGTTATTCTTTGGTGATGAAATCATGGACCCTTCTTGAAATTGCTGTTTTCTAAATTTTTTGCAAAAGAAATATATAGTATATTACAAGCTACCTTTTTAATTCCTGCAGAATAATAACAGCTATTTTTTTTCAGATCTTATGATGAGTCAGGTGCTTTTCTAAGCTATATATTATATATATTGATTGCGTACAATAACCCTATGAAGCAGTTGATATGATTATCATCTCCTTTTAACAGATGAGGAAACTGAGACACAGAGTGGTGAGATAACTTGCCTAAAGCCCTCCACCTGGTAAGCAGAGGTGGAATTTGACTGACTACAAGCCATCTGACTCAGCATTTGTGTGTTTAGGGTCAGTGCTCTTTGTCTGATTTCTGTAGCCCACAAGAACTACACTGAAACACAGTACCTGCAACAGTGCCCCAGATGCATATGCTGTTTAGTATATGTGTTGCCGAAGCGAGCACTGCATATGCTGTTTAAAGGAAATGAATAGAGTATGGCTCTCCTTTGTGTCTTCATTGCCAACTAGTAAATAAATGGGGTTTTCATGTCTTCAGTCTTTCTCTTAGTTATTTGCTTAGTGAATTGGCAAGGTATGATCTACTAAAATCGATTTTCTGAGCCAGGCACAGTGGAACACACTTGTAGTTGTAGCTGAGGCAGGAAGATCACTTGAGCCCAGGAGTTAGAGGCCAGCCTGGGCAAAGTAGTGACATTGTATCTCAAAAAAAAAAAAAGTCAAATTCATTTTCCTGTGTGTTTTGGTACATCTAGATGTCCCTCAAGAGCTTCAAGTACTCCTAGATGGGACTTTGGAAAGTGATTGGATTGTAGGATTCCCATAATATCCCTGACTTGCTGTTAGGAGTGGGGTCTAGTCAGAAGAGAAGGGTCACCACGGGCACCGCCTGGAAGGGTTCATCTCCCCTCACTCTCGCTGCTTCCTGTCTGCCCTGCCAGGAGCAGCTCTCCTTGACCATGCCCTTTGCCATGCTGTTTCTTCTTTTATTTGCTTTTTATTAGTAAAGTGTTTAAACATCTTTTTATTGGATGTGTTGGCAGTATATGATTGCATTTGTCATGGGGAGTCGGCACACATACGTAGCACATCTTCATTCTTTTTTATTCCCTTCCCCTCCACTCCCTCCCCACTTTCTTCTTTGGAGCCAGTGACCCTGGACTGAAACGTGAGCCAAAATACACTCTCCTTTAAGTTGAGATGTTGAGTATTTTGTCCCAGCAACAAGGAAAAATGACTAAGACACTGTGTACCTTTGAAAAGACTTTTCTCATTGTATTCACCAAACTACAGATAGTTTATATTTTTTTAAAATCACAAGCTAAAGTAGTAGTGAAGTAGCACATGCTTATTTTTTTCTACCATTTGATTCACATAGTTCTGAATACAGCTGTGAGGCACCCTGAATGTGCTTCTAATATTTTTCAAATGTACAGAAAATAAGACAGCGAAGTAGTCGAATGAAGTGACCTCAGACCCTGTAAATACCTAAGAGTCAATGTATTGAGTCCCAGTAGCAATAAAGTATAGAACAAAGTTGTCCCCTTTAGCTCAGCAAACAATTATTCCAGATTAAAAGCATCCAGAGGTAACAGCAGATTTTCAGCTATTGTCTGTTTCCAGTCTAGAATTTCTGTTTTTATGCAGGCAATTAAATTAGAATTCATGGATTTTTGTGTCTTTTGAAGAGTGAAAACTGGGTGTTTCTGAGGAATAATTTCACACTAGAAAATAATATTTTAAACCTGGTGGCTGCAATGACAGGACATATTTTTGAAAATTACCCATATTAATCATTGAATAAGTAACGTGATAAGTTGCTAGCAGACAAAGCTGGTTGAATTAGGCTGTCAGGAATCGCTTGTTGCTGGATGGCACTATCAATCACGAATCCCTGTAAAATACTACGATTCAGCCAGCGTATTACTCAGCGGCAACTAATTAAGTTCAGGGCACTCCGGGAGTTCATTACATCGTTAGACAAAGTCCCCGCACCCAGGTCTGGGTCCTGATGAGTCGCCCTCCTAGCTTCTTCCCCTGGGAGCTAGGTCACAGCTGTCATCTGGCTAAGGTCATTCTCAGTGTCATTCCCAGAAGAGACTGGACTTCATGGATGCTGAAAAAGATATTTTTCTCTCTCTGCTTTGCTGTGGCCCAGCTTCCCATTCAGCAGAACTAATAAAGCCCACTCAAGAGAGAGGATCTGTTCTCTAGTCTAGCCACTTGTACCTGGGACTCTCGTAGTTAATTCAGGGACCTCTCAGACCCCCAGTTCGCTCCGTCTTCCGGAGGGTAAAGCACGGTGTCACAGAAGTGTCTGAGGATTTGGTCGTGCACGGCATTCATCACACACCAGCCTTCAGCAAACCAGCCTCAGTTTCCTCAATCGTACAAGAGTGAGATTCGTGTCTGCCTTACAAAGTTGTCAAGATTAAATGATAAAAAAATGAAAATATAAGGCCTTAGGATCTAGTAGGCACTCAACAAATAATTGTTATTATAATTAATGTTCACCGTAAGAAACTCAAGGATCTAGACTATTCACATTTCCTTAGGCCCAGAAATGAGAGCTGCCTCTGATTGTAGAATAGAAGAATTACAAATAGTGTCGTAGTTAATTAACAAGGCCAAACAATATTGTATACCTAGATTTCTTTTCTAAAAGCACATCTTTCATTTTAAAGGTCCTGTTTTACTCCTTCCCATTATTCTCTCTTGCCCCTTCCCCAGGCAATCTCTGGAAATATTTTCATTATTGCTCTTTCAGAAATATGCACTTTTTATCAGAATGAATTTGTATTATAATCACACACCCAGCTCTCATCTGTACTCAACATGTAATGTTATCTTTGTGAAGTATTAAACTATCCCAGGCCAAAGCTAAGTAAGATTCCAAATGTCATTATAATTCACAGGTCTCATCTCTGTCATGCTGGTTAAAATTTCCTGCGCTTGGTCAAAATTGAGCATATTCCTTATTGATAAACTAAATTGGCAGTCACAGAAAGTGAGATCTGTAATCAAATGGTGTGAGTGGAAGCAGCTTCTGGAGCCCAGGCTTCCCTCCTAGCCTACTACCTCCAGGCCTAAAGTGCCAAATTCAGCTGTGACTAGCTGCCTGCAGAAGCCCAAAGATAAATTCTCTTCAAAAAACTGCTTGTGAATGGCCAAGTACGCGTTTCCTTTCTCTTGCGCTTTGGGCTGGCACCCTGTCCAGTGAGAGCTGTCCCGAGGGAGGCGGCACTGCTTGCCCAGCTCGGCCCGTCTGCTGCAGCCTGGCATCTGTATGCCAGCAGCGTGACTGGGGCCCAGCCTGTGTTTATGAAATGAAGGCACCTCCTCCTCTCTGCTTGAGGGAAACACTGAGGGCTCCTAAGCTCCGGAACCTGGGCTGGGTGAGGGTGTGCAACGGAGAGCGGACCTCAGGGCAGAAGCCTGGCCAGCGTGTTCTCGGGTTCTTTCCCTTCATGTTTCTGTCTTCCTTGCTGTTTTTCAGGTAGTGAAGCTGATTTCAGCTCCTCGAGCAGCACAGGCAGCATCTCAGCTCCGGAGATCCATATGTCTACAGCCGGAAACAAGCGGTCCGCTTTCTCACGCAAGTAGGCGCTGTGTCCTGTTCTGTAACGTGAGGCTTTGTACAGCGGCTCACCTGTGGCTTAGGTTTCCGCCCAGCCGCCTGGATCACCGTCCATTTGTATTTTGTTATTATTCAGCGAAGCGTTTTGTTTTGTATTTTACAGTGATGTGAGGTTGGTCCTTTTCTGCCTCGCCCACCGAGGTCACGTGGCTCAGCCTGTTTTGTCTCCATAGCCGTCTCCCTCCAGATCCTTAGTTGTGTGTCCACCCACGCCTCTCTCCCTTTTCTCTCTGCCTCGATCTTGATCTTTTCTCTTCACCTGGGCGTTAAGCTGGTCTCTCCCACCCCCTACCCAGCCTCTTCCTCAAGAGTCTGTCGTCTCTTCCCGGTGAGGCCTCTGATTCACTCTCTCCCCTAGCTGGCCTCCTTTCTTACCTGTGTGCACGAAGCAGTCACCCCTGACCACTGGGGAGGGAGTGGAGGGAATGTAAAGTGCCCAGCCTGGGTGGCCACCCCTGCAAGGGGCAGCGAAGTAGCTGAGTGTGTGGGCTCTGGAGCTAGGCCGCCCTGGTGTGTCAGCGCCGCCATCTGCAGGCTGCATGGCCCTGAGCATAAGGCTTAACTTACTCCGCCTCAGTTTCCTCATCTGTAAAATACAGCTGTAGGCGTGCCTCTCTCATAGGGTTTCTGATTAGGTCAGGGCTTGGAGCACAGTAAGCATAATCAGATGTTCACTGATGTTATTTGAATTGGGGACGGCGACTGTGGGAAAATGGAAGCCACCACTCACATTTAGGGGCAGTGGGGGTAAGCCCCAGGATTTTCCTCCTGCAGCACTATCATTACTCACTCGCATATTCGTGGAGCATCTATTATGAGGCAAAGTTTGGAGATAAGGCAGAAAACAAAACTCCATGAAAACTATGTTCATTTTAATAGGGCAAGAAAGACAACAAATAGATTAATAATATAATTATGTTTAAAACCATGCAGGGAAAGGATATGGAGAGTAATGGGGTGTGTGGTGTACCCTAGAGGACTTGGTCCCAGGAGTCCTCTGTGGTGATGTAGGCACCCAGCAGGGACCAAAAGGAAGGGTGGAATGAGCACCCCCATCTGAGGACTCTGTCTGCTCACTTTAGTGAGTCATTTGACTGTCCCGGGTTAGACTCTGTGAATTTCAAGGTCCCTCCCTGGAGAAAGGACGTGTAGTTTCCACATCCATGACTCGGCAGGCAAAATTTTCCTGTTTGTCTTGGAGAGCAAAGGGTCTGGCTGATGTTTACAAAGGGACCTGAGACACCCCCAGTACAGTTGTGCTGTTGAAAATAAAACTGAAGCCAGACACACCTGTACAAGAAGAGTGAAGTACACAGTGGAAAACGCAATTTCTATATTCCCAAGCCCCTTTTATTTTGAAAATAAAATGCCTCTGAGATCACAGGGCGTGAATACAAACATTCTCTGTGGAAATCACAAGTGACTTGCTCTGAGGGGCAATCATTTCTCTAAGCCATTCAGCAAATTAGCACATATCCGTGATACATACAACCGAAGAACTGACCACAAAAGAAGAAAACACTATATTAAGCATTTCAAAGGAATCAGGGTTTGCGGTTAAATTCCTAGGTCAGGTCAATAATGTAAGAGTTAGAGAAAATGTTCTAGTCTGAAGTTCATGGTTTCTTCAAGCGATCAAAATTGATGTGTTAAATATGAAACAGGCAAATACGACAGTGTGCAAAACAAACAAAAAATGCTTATGCCAAAAACTACTGTAGCCAAGCAGTAATAATCAAAGGCTTAAAAACAATTAATAGTTGGAAAATTCAAATGGACTCCTCACTTTACTGACCCAGGCATAGAGTGCCGTCAGTAGATTTCAGTGATGGAAAAGCCCAGGCATTTCATGTAGTCCCTGGGTTCTGTGAGACCGTGTTGAGGGCAGCTCTTCCAGCGGGCCGGGTACCCATGCCAAACTCCTGGGATCCCTGTAATTGGCTGGTTGTTCTGGTGGCAGGGGAAAGCGAGCAGGAACATTTGGTGAGCAAGCTGGAAACATGAGGAACAGGTGGAGTTGGTGAGAATATTGATGACAGGTGACTTTATGAATGATCTCATCTTATGCTATTTCTAAGGAATCCTCTTCCTTAAACTAAAACACACACTCATCTGTTCAGAAGCTGATGAAAGTGGGTAGGGGGAGCTTGGAGTTTGGAGCCAGACAGACGTGGGCTTGGCGTGCTGATCACTGTTTAACAGCCGAGTTTCCTATTGTAGAAAATGGGGTCACAATAACGTCTCTCACAGGGTTAAAAAGGTAAACGTGGTTGCTTGACAAGGTATCTGAAACGTAGTGAGAGGCTCAATAGAGGTTTCTACGTTTTGTTTGTCAGAGATTGCAGGAGTAAGAAAAGAGACATGTGGCTGCCGCTATGCTGCTGGTGGCGGTGGTGATGATGCTGTTAGTGTGCTAGAGCAGCATAACAGTATCACAGAGTAGGTCGCCTACAGTTTTGAGGACTGAAAATCTAAGATTGATGTGTTGGTGAGTTGGTTCCTCTGAGGCCTCTCCTCGGCTTGTAGGTGACCACCTTCTCCCTGCGTCTCTGTGTTGTCTTCTTTCTCCCCATGTCTGTATTCAAATTCTCTTATTATAAGGGCACCAGTTAAACTGAATAAAGTCCCACTGGAGCTGCCTCATTTTAACTTTATGCATCCTTAAAGGCCCTGTCTCCAAGTGTAGTGGCATTCTGAAGTCCTGGGAGTTAAGGCTTCAACACACGAACCGGGGGCAGAGGGCTTCATGGTTCGACCCATAACAGTAGTGATAGTGGATGGTGATGGTGAGGATACAGTGATTTAGTCATGTACTTCAGTGCTTCTTTCCACTGTGAACGTCAGTGGTGAACTTTAGGGTAATAACCACATACATAGCCAGTACTTACCTGTTCACCAGTCCAAAGCCATGTATTCCATCTGTGTAAAGTAGGAGATATTTTTGTAGGGAGAGTTGAGAGATCTGGATTTGAATCCCAACTCAATGGTGTGTTCTTGGATGATTTCTCTTTCCTGAACCTCAGTTACTTCGTGTACAGAGAGGTATTAATTGTGTCTGTCCTATAGGATGATGGTCATGTGAAATGAAAGTGTTCATAAAATGTCTGGAACAGCACTAGGATCATAGAATGTCCTCAGCAAAGGTTAACAGCATAGAATTTTCTGGATCAAAATACGGGATAGGTTCTTTCTGTTCTTTCCTGATTCATAAGGGTTAATCCCCCACATCCCTCCTAGTCATATTAAGAAATAGGCTGGTGGGTATCAGGCTGAGAAATAAGCATGGAGAAGACAATCTATGCCAGAGTACATGCTCCTTTCAGCGACTTGGGAAGGTCTTCCCAACCCTGGGCAGCTGAAGTTGGTTTGTCACAAAGCCATCGCACATCTGTTCCACATAAAGTGTCCTTTTCTCAGGGAGAGCGAGTCCACTTGGATGATTTCAAGAGGAAAGAACTTTTAACTTTAGAATTTGCTGGTTTCATTTTTATGTGATTTGCTGGGTTGACAACCATTTGAAAATATATTTAATTTTAAATAAGTAATTATGGTTTGGGAGCCAAGTGTACCCATACACGCACACTAGTATTTACATTTACACACATTTCTCATTGAACTGTGTCATTTGGATAGAGCCGTGATTAAAATTGCAAATACAAGGGATTGTCAAAAAAATACAGCCATCGGAAAGGAATCTTCTTGCTCTTTATTTTCTAGTAATGTCATCAAATAATATTCTCGACAGGAGTCTTACCCTGTTCAGATAATTTCAACATTTTCAAGATGCTTCCCAGCCCTAAGGGGTAGCAAACCTCTAGAACTAGATTAACAGGACAGTCCAAACACACTGATCATGTAATAACGGCCTGTAGTATAGCTGCACTTAGCTTCTTGAATGCACTTTTATGCCTTTTTATTTTCCCACCAACCCTAAGAGGAAGGCCTGGGTGTGGGTGGGTGTGTGTGCGTGTGAAATGGCTTACCTCTAGTAACGCTGCCTGGGCTTAAACCCAGTCTGTCTACTTAGCAGTTATTCAAGGGACATCTACCACACGCCACAAAATAATGGAGATGTAAACAACGGGCTGTGTCCCTACCTTCAAGGATACTCCAGTCTAGCAAAGATGCAGTGGAGATGCTTGCACCAAGTCCCATGACGGAAGTTTGCAGACTATCAGGAAGCACCAAGGAGTGACACCTACACTGGCATAGCAGGAAGAATTCAGAGAAGGCTGCTTGAAGCAGCTTTCCATCAGTCTTAAAGTAGGAGGTATCCTGGGTCTTGGGGAAGGCTGTAGGAGAGTGTTTTAGGCAGAGGAAATTCTAAGTTCAAGAACATAAAGATGACCGCAAACATAGATCCTCCAGGAAACTATGCCCTGTGGAAGGCTAGAGTATGGAGAGTTAGGAGTGGTGGAGGGTGTGTCCTAAGCCATCCTGAGGAGCCTAGCCTTTGTTCTGGAGGAACAAAGTGGGAAAGCACTGAAGGGCTTGAGGACAGCATTCAAAGTCCTTCTTAGGACTCTGTGGCCACACAGCTTCCTGCTGGAGGAGCAAAGCAAGAGGCAGGGTACTGATAGGGGGCCATGACAACAGTTCAGTACTTAAGTGGAAAAGGTTGTGTTAAGTCACTGGGTTTGGAAAGGAAAAAAATAGGGATCAAAATTATCTGTCCTGTGTTTTTTTTTCTTTTATGGGCAGCCTCCATCCCACTAGTGAACCACCTTAATTTTCTTAGTCCAACATGAACCAAACCCAAATATTCCTCAACTTAAAAAGGTAGATTGGAACAGAAGCCATATCTGCAAAACCACCTCCAAAATGAACCCAAGCTATATCAATATTTTGTGCTGTGTGTATTCATAACAGGCAGTTGGGTTGAATCCAAAACAAGCTGTATGGTCAGAAACTATCTGAAAGAACAACAGAGGGAGCTCTTGCTGGTGCTCTTGACACAAGGAGAGAAATTACCACGCAGGTGAAAAAAGGGCTGCCATGAGAGCAGTGTGTGTCAGTAATTAGACTGCTCCTTTCGTCTCTATGAATCGGATTTCCTAAGCAAACTATCACTAGGAAGGAGTAGAGGAGACTGGCACATGGAGATTTCCAGCCACCAGTGTCCTGATGTTTGCTGTGCTCTTCTCCCAGTCGAGGTCCCCATGGACGGAGTAATGGCGCTTCGTTGCACAAGTCTGGCAGCAGCCCACCATCGCCTCGGGAGAAGGACCTTCTGTCCATGCTGTGCAGGAATCAGCTGAGCCCCATTAACATCCACCCTGGTTACGCCCCTTCATCCCCGAGTAGTAGCAACTCAGGCTCCTACAAAGGAAGCGACTGCAGCCCAGTCATGAGGTGAGACCACTGTTTACATGGTCCCATATGGGAAGCTTTTCTTTAAAAAAAGAGAAAAATATATATAACTCTTGACTTCCTGCCTTATTCTGTAGGAAGATACTTCTCTTTCCTTTCCTACACTCAGCTAATCCTTCGAGGGTCACTTCAGAAAGAGCACAAGCCACAGTTTCTAACAAGGTTCAGCTGTCCAAGCAGTTACTGAACAGGGAGGAAAACGGTGTAGTGGCAGGAGGAGGGTTGGACTCATTTCCTCATCTCAGGGAGGAAGCCCATATGGGATCACTCATTCACTCCAACACCAAGTGTCTACTGAGTAAAAGTACTGTGTGAAGCACTGGGACTGCAGCAGTAAAGAAAAATGGCCCTGTGCTCAGTGCCCAGAAAAGAAGAAAGGTGTGAATGACGGAAGTAAATTAAGATTACTGTGCAAGCAGCTGTTGCTACGTGAGTGTAGCAGTAAGGAGCGGTCGAGTCAGGCCAAAGGGCGCAGGGAGGCCTCCCTGAGGAGGGAACTGGTGTGAGAACTCCAGGGCAAGCAAGGAGTTAATGGCATGGGGTGGGAGGAGAGTGGAGCAGCAAGAACTGGGTCCTGGCCGCGGGCCATCTTGGAGGGAGCACAGGCATGGGGTGGCAGCTGTGGCCTGGGCCGGTCCGGGTCCCGTCAGGGAAGAAGCTGGTGGCCCTGCTCTCCCAGGCGTCCCGTCCGTCCGAATTGCTCAGCTCTTGCAGCAGGGATGTGTGGCTGGTGCCCAGGCCTGAGAGGGACCAGGAGTCCGGCTGAGGCCGTCTGCAGAACACGGAGCCCCTCTCCGACAAAGCACGCTGCTGAGTGCAGTAGTCTTGTTCCCTTCAGAAGCAGGAACTTTCCGTTCCTGTTCCCACACACCAGTCTGTTCACACCAGGGATTGATCTCAGAACAATCTGAATTCAGCAATGACAAGCAGATTGGTGGGCAGTGGCACATTGGGTGGAAAGTTAGGTCATCTCGTTCCCTTCCTCCCACCCTTTGTCTGTTACTACAAAGCGTGCCACTCTGAACTACAGCCCAGGCCTGCACACAGCTGTGCGTGATTCCATGAGGTCATTCCTCAGGCGCAGACAATCCTGCCTCTCCACTGGCCCCTCCCCTCCATGAACACACGCGCTGCACAATCTTCTAAGGGACTGGCATGTATATTACTCTGCCTTCTGAAGTGAGCTCATCTGTTGCTGAGGTTCCAGACCCTAGTACTTGACTGCCATTTCTTCTCCAGCTGTCAGCTGTATGTCTTCGAGGGCTGCTATGACAAACACCTTAGATGGGTGACTCACTTTTCTCACAGCTCTGGAGACTGGAAGTCTGAGGTCAGGGCACCAGCCTGGGGTCTGGGGAGGGCTCACCTCTGGGTTGTAGACTGCCAGCTCCTTACGAAGTAGAGAGAGAGGTAGAGAGCTCCCAAGGTCTCTGTTATGAGGCACAAATTCCATTCACGAGGACTCTTCTGTCACGATCGATTATGTCCCAAAGACCCGTCCTCCAAATAGCATCGAATTGGGGTACTGGGATTTTAACGTAAGAATTGTGGGGGGACCTAGACGTTCAGTCTGTAAGAGCGTTCTTTTCTTCATAAAGAAAAGGAAACAGGAATAAAGTAATACCTCTGTACGTGGCTCGTTTCAGGCGGTCTGGAAGGTACATGTCCTGTGGAGAAAATCACGGTGTCAAACCCCCCAGTCCAGAGCAGTATCTGACTCCTCTGCAGCAGAAGGAGGTTACCGTGAGGCACCTGAAGACCAAGCTGAAGGAGTCCGAGCGCCGGCTTCACGGAAGGTGAATATGCTTTTCCTGTGCACTATGGAAGGGACAGCTTCTTTTTTGCACAACATGAAATATAAACTCAAACTACAGAGAAAAAACAGTAGAGAAAAAGTGATTTAACTTTTGTCAAATGTCTTACGTTGGGCTCCGAACAGAGTCATTTCATGGGTGTTTGGGACCTGGCTGTTTCAGGGCTCAGGGGCCTGGGAGGTTAGGGTTAGCAGGACCCTTGGCTTCCCCTGGTGTGTACGCTACTATTTTTCAACGGCAGAGGCATCTACAGGAACAATCCCACACTTCCAGCAGAATGGGTCACAGGGGCCCGGTCAAGCCCTGTGGATCTCTACAAGAGAGCAGCTCTCTGTGTACACTGTAAGCTATTTCTGTGCTGAAGGAAGAGGTTCATTATTCTTGGCCAAGCATTAAAGCTAAACAAAAATAAACTAGCCCATGTTTAAGAGATCGTATCTGAGAAAGAAAAGGCCTTTGTCATGTTGGGGACATGCCAGTTTTTCTGCTTGCTGGCTTCCCTCGAACATTTTGGGACAGAATAGCAGAGCTCTAACCAGAGTCGCTGTGAGCTCAGGGTAAGGACAGCATTTGGATCCGCTGGGAGCCTGGGGTCTGATTTAGCACCTGGCAGCTTCACTGGCCCCAACTAAGGATGTGGAGAAGACGCAGTGACTTCCGCTGAGAGTGGCACAAGCCTATAATCCCAATACTCTGAGTACCTGAAGCTGGAGGAGCTCAAGTTTGAGCCCAGCGCAGGCAATTTAGCAACATCTTCTCTCAAAAAATTAAAAAAGGGATGTAACTCAGCGTGAAGGAAGGCCCTGGGTTCAATCCCAGTACAGGGGCTGAGGGAACTTTGGGCAGATAACACTACAGACCATGAGAAGGGGTATTTTTCATCCCAGTTAAGTGATTTTCACCTGACTGAAATAGACTTGAGAGTAAAACTCATTTCTGAGGTGAGTCAGACTCCACTTTCTGGAAGTGTTTGTTTTATGATTTAAGGAGTTCATGGAAATATTTGCACACGATGGGAGGAGGAAGTATGAAAAAGCAAAAAACCCTGAGAAAATATGGAAGCCTAAATTTAAATACACAGTGCTAACAGCACTTTGTATGAGGATTCTGACTGTGGGCTCTTCATATCCACGAATAACGTGAGGACATGTATTCACACTGACTGGGAAGCAATTTTATGTAATCACAGCTGCCTTGGCAAAGGCTTTGAAATAGGTTTCTGTGAAGGATCTAAAAAGTAGGATAGCTTCTCCTCAGTGTAGGCTGCCTTCATCATCCTCACCTGAGAGGAGACAGAATAAGCAACTTTTTACAAAGTTCTTATAACGTGTAGCTTTTTATAATTTTACAAACTTAGGATTGGAGTATGATCAAAACAGCTTTGCAATGCTAAGTTATCATTTCAGCTTCTGTCTTTACTAAAAGTGGAACAGACTTTTCCTACACAGCTGTCTGTAGGTGTTGTTTGTAGGTGATGCAGATAAAGCAGGCCAAGAGATTCTAGTAATACAATTTCTATTAAGCACCAAGTAGAGGAGGATGCTTGTCAAGTACTTAGTGCAACACCTGACACACAGTGAGCACTCAAAAACAAAAAAAAACCATTTCTGATTCTGGTTACTATCACTACTTTAGCTATTTCATAATTAAGGGGGAAGTTCGCAGCTAATACCTCCCAAAGAAAAGCATTCCCAAACTGATTTAACGTGTGCACTTCAGGAGGAAGGGCCTGGCTCGGGGCTGTGTCCCAGCCGTTTGTTGCCCCGGTCGGAGTTGCCCTTGTTCCTCACTGTGCTTGCCTTGCCTCAGGGAAACTGAAATCGTGGAGCTCAAGTCCCAGCTAGCTCGCATGAGAGAAGACTGGATCGAAGAAGAGTGCCACCGGGTAGAAGCCCAGTTGGCACTCAAAGAAGCCAGGAAAGAGATTGAACAGCTCAAACAGGTCATCGAGACCATGAGGAGCAACTTGGCGGATAAAGATAAAGGCATTCAGAAATACTTTGTGGACATCAACATCCAGAACAAGAAGCTGGAGTCGCTGCTCCAGAGCATGGAGATGGCCCACAGCGGCTCCGTGAGGGATGAACTGTGTCTAGACTTACCGTGCGGTTCCCCGAAGAAAAGCTTAGCTCTCAACACCCCTCTTGGCAAGATGACAGACGGCTTATCTGTGGATGGGCAGGTCACAGAGGAGGGGGCCGACAGTGAGCTGCTGGTGGGAGACAGCATGGCTGATGGTGCAGATCTGCTTGATGATGTGGTGACAGCCACCGCCATAGAATCTGGTGACCTGGAGCCAGTCCCTTCCTCCCCTGAGGCTCAAGTTCTTGAGCTCCTTCCTGTGGCGGTGGAGCAGGCTGTGCAGACTGATGTGCTGCTGTTCAGCCCCACAGTCTCTGAGCTCATTCAGCATGTGCTCAAGCTCCAGGACTGCTGTCCCTCAAGCTCAGCCTCCCCCGAAGAATCCGGGGCCGACTCCACGGAGAGCTTCCCAGAGTCCATCTCTGCCTTAATGCTTGATTTAACGCCGAGAAGCCTGAACTCGGCCCTCCTCCTGTCTCCCGTGGAGACCTCATACAGCAAGAGGGCTGCAGAAGCTCCTCCGAGCCGCCTCATGAGAGAGCTGGATTTTGTTTCCTACCCTGCAGAAGAAAGGTTGGACGGCGGTATCCCGCTATCTCAGGGGACCGTCGTGAGGCAGTACTGGAGCAGCAATTTCTTGGTGGATCTCCTGGCTGTGGGTGCTCCAGTGGTACCCACTGTTTTGTGGGCATTCAGTACTCAGAGAGGGGGAGTAGATCCCGTCTACAACATTGGAGCCTTGCTCCGGGGCTGCTGTGTGGTTGCCCTGCATAATCTCCGCCGCACCGCCTTCCATATCAAAACCTAAGTCCAAGTGGTCACCGTGTGCCAATTTGTCCGTGCAGCATTGTGCCAGGTAGAGAAACAGCAGGTCGATCTGTGGCAGTGTCTAGCCTGTTGTTTTGCCCCTCAGTATTGGATTTGCACTATAGTTAGTTGAAGCCTGTTCACTGTTTGAAACCGGAGGTATCTTCAAAGGCATGGAGACCTGGTCCCAGTTAATGTCCCAGCAGTGTGGTATAGAAAGCATGCTCGTGACCCTGCCGTGTCGTCTGAAGTACCCGTTTGTATCCTAGTGGTTCAGGAAGAGAAAATGCAAAGTTTGCACTTTCAAGACAGCATCTCCAAGGCTGGCATGTTATCTCCTTGCTCTGCTTTGTGCCGTTTTCAAATGTGTAATTGTTCCAGCATTCCAATGGTCTTGTGCATAGCAGGGGACTGTAACCAAAAATAAAAATGTACTTGTGTAACTGGTTCAAGAAGTCTTGAGTAGCTCTTTAGTGTTTACTTGGGGTTGATAAGGTTTGAGTGTTTGCAGTTTTTTACTAAATGTAGCTCAAGTCTTAAATGGCTGTTTGTTCTTAAACCTGTTAATTGATGGAATCGTATGTAAGATTACAATGTACTAACTTATTTTTTGCTTATTATATATAGTGTTTTATTGGAAATTGTTTGTAAGCACACACTTCAGCATGATGAAAATAAAGACCTATAGTGTTTTCCTTTAAATAAATGTTTTATCCTCCTACAGAAAAATTATGTCTGTGAGCTTACTTCTACACAGGGTAAGAATGAATAGCAGATCTTCCATCTTTATCAATAGTTTTGTAAAACTGGAATTAACTTTAAAAATAAGGGTCTACTGCCATAGTGCAGATGATACATTAGCACTACTGGAGGTGGAATAGATATGCTGATTAACTGAATAATTGAAGACCGACTGAAGAATAGAGCTGGTGTGACTTACTGATGGACCAGAGATGGAGTAGGGTGAAAGGAAAAGAGAAATTTTACAGATAACTCAGGGTTTTGGTTTGAGCAACTAGATGAACTCTGGTGCTATTTGCTGAGAATGGGAAAGAGTTCAAGAGAAAGGCATTTAGCTGGGGAATAAAATTTAGATGTCTATTAAAATATCTATGTGGAGCCAGAAAGGTTGGCACACACCTGTAATCCCAGCTACTTGGGAGGCTGAAGCAGGAGGATCACAAATTCAAGGCATGTCTGGTCAACTCAGCAAGAATTTGCCTCAAAAAAATTAAAAAATAAAAAGGGCTGGGGCTGCAGCTCAGTGGTAGATTAGCACGTGCAAGGCGCAGAATTCAATCCCTGGTATGAAAAAAAGGAAGAAAAATTATGTGGTGATGCCAAGTAAGTAGCTACCTATGTGAATGAAATCACAGGAGCTGTCAGAGGTAAAGTTACAAAACTGGTGTTTGGTTTTGCATAGTATTTAAAACAATGCAAACAGATGAGATCATACAGTGAGTGTATAGAAAAAAAGGCCGAAAATTGAGTCCTGTGGTACTTCTACATATGGACAAAAATGGAAGATGAAGAATCACCCAAACAGCCAGAGAAAAGGCAAGCCAGGTTAGCAGGAAATGAGGGAAATGCAGCATCATGAATGTGTGATCAAGAGAAGTGATCGACCATGTTGAAACTCCATCAAGGGAACGAGTAAAATGGAGTTTCATATCCCCTGGCTTTGATAGAAAGGTCTTAACACCACCTTGTCAAGATCACGTTCTTTGGAGAAAGGAGGATGGAAGCCAGATTGGTGCAGGTTAAAGAATGAATAAATAAGAATGAATAGAAGAGGGCTGGGGATTTAGCTCAGTGGTTCCACTGCCTGCTGCATAAGTGCAAGGACCCGAGTTCGATCCCCGGTACCAAAAAAAAAAGAATGAATAGAAGACAGCAAGTACAGTGGACCTTCAAGTTAGTTATGACCAGCCTGGCACACGAACAACTTGAGTTAATTAGGTTAATGGAAGATTCATCTGCCTCTTGTTATCTATAGCGTGTACCCAGGTAAACAGAGAGATCTCAGCTGTACTGACTTATTTACAACCAGCCCTTGGGAACCTATGAAGTTTGTAAGCCAAGGGTCCACTGTTTAAATGTATATGCAGCTACTTCTGTTTCATTTTCACTGTGAAGGGAAAAAGGGAAGTGAGTAGTTACAACCAAGTATTAGGTCAAGGTTTGTTTTATTCTTCAGTACTGACAGGAGACCACACATGTTTGTACACCTTAGTAACTGAGCCAATGAAGGGAAAGAATTGGATGACACAGGAAAGGAAGGGTTAACTGAAGAAGGGAAGCCCTGAAGATCAGGGATAGGCCCCAGAGCAGGATACACATGTGGGGAGAGGCTGGTCTCTGAGGAGCATTTGCACTGCAGTATACATATGCCCTACACAACACACATTCTGCAGTTCCAGTTAGCAGGAAGAGGACTGGCTGGAAGGGGAAAGAAACTGTTTCTGAAGGTGAATGTTCTGAAGTGTTTGAAAATGATGACTCAAGTCTCTTCCTGTACTCTGGCCCAGGCTAATACCTAGATTGTCCTTAATCCTTGTGTTTACTGTATTTTAGTCATTGCTAAATGAAAGCATTTTTAAGAAAAATGAGAAGCCAGTTTTTGGTGTCTGCTTTTTGCTACAGAAACAAATATAACCACGTGAACTCAGCATTGTTGCTCACCATTTAAAGACAGACGGAAAGGGTGAGCTCTAGCGAGAAAGAATTTCATGAATCACACATTTCTGTTATCAGATTGGAGGCAGGTGATCACCAATACCACCATGTTTTGTCTCAATGTCCTGCATCCTTCTTTGCGGAATCTAAAAGATTCAAACAAAGTAGCCCATGTCCTATTCCCATTTGCACAAATGTGCACAAAGGTAGAACAGGAGATCCTGCAGCAATTACTCCTTTTCCTTCTTCTCTTCCCCTCCCCTGTGCTCCTCTTAAGATTTCAGCATACATAGTCTATGGAAAATTACTCCTTTTATTCAGAGCAAAGTCTCTCACAAATGAGTCCCTTGCAATAAATAAAGGATGAGACATGCTTGACTTTTGGAAGCCTAAGGCATTGGCTGGTTTTGTGCCTCAAAGTTGCTTTCAGTCATTTGGGTGCCTACTATGTACAAACAGGCAGGAAAATGGAAAAAAAGAATCATTCCACTCTATTCAACAAACTGCTATCCCATCAAAGCAAATATTAAACGCTTCCTGCAGTTATGCAGGCAAATATCCCCATTTATAAGAAAAGATTTTTCCCAAAGGGATATGTTGCCCTTTCCAAGTTGAGCTGTTCAGAAAAGGTGTGTGTGGGGGGGAATGCAACATACTCAGATGCCAAGCGTTTCTGACATTTGTGGCAGAAGAAAAAGGAAGCTTGTGATTTGGGTTTACCATTGGTCCTGCCCAGCAGCTCAGTCTGGTGCTTTCTCTTGAGTTTTTCATTTTAAAAGGTTTGGGACAGTTTCCTACTTGCATTTTGAGTCAGTGAGTACTTTTACAAAATTCGCTTGTTTCTAACCCTGCCAGGTGAATGTGCACAATGAGGCAGTAGCCTAGGAAACGAACAGCTCATTGCAGTCGAACTTTGAAATGGCAGCTCTCCCAACTGTCCTTAGCAAAAGTCATTAGGAACTCCAAACAGCAAAACAGAGCAGGTTCACACCAGGTGATTACTTTCAAACCAGAAGGCATCGCTGTGCGGTCCCTGATTTCCCCACATTCAGGATTATTATAATGATTACAGCAATAATTCCAAAGAATTTTAAAATTCACAAAAGGTTTAAATATTACTTGAGTTTCATTAAAAGACTGAAATATTTCAGTAGTATTCAAGTTTGTTCCAAAGTTTATTTCTTTAAAAAGTGTATTAAAGCTAAAACACCAAATACATGCAACCCAAGTGAAACAGCTGGGCCCTGCCCTTTGCCTTTCCCTTGTGCCCTGAAGTGACCCGTGCATCACCTTTCAGAACAGCTTGCAAATCACTTCCCCATAGCCAGCTTCCTTGAGAACTGCCAGTCTATGTAAGATCTCACGTGTGGATACTCACAATTAACTGGAATTGTATCCAAGTTAATGCAAAAAATTCAATTCTCTACTGCCCTAAATAAATGAACATTTAATATAAGGACTGTTTTCCAACCCTTCCTCACAAAACGCTGTTATCCAGTGCTCTGTGGGTTTCACTGTGAAGAAAGCTTACCTCGCTCCGAAGCCTCTAAGCATCCAGAAATGTGGTGATAGTAACTGATGACTTAAAATCAAGGTGCAGACTCTCCTTGTAAATGAGACACAGCATCACAGCCTAAGGGCCTCCTTCCCCTTCTCAGCAACCTAAACACCTCACAGTATTTGAATTGCTTTGCCTGTATCTCTTTCTACATTAAACAATAGGTGCTGGCATTTTAAACTGACCTTTAATTCTTCTGCACCAGCACATTACTTCTGACTTGTTGTTTGTATAGAGAAAATGAAACAAGAAAGCAGTCAATAATTTCATCTCCTCTGAAAGAATATGAAAACCAGTTTTTCTGCATGACCACTCATGGTACTTCTTTACTGAAGAAAGGCTCCTTCTAATCAAGAAAGATTAGGCAAGTGGGCTGCTCACCCACCCCACTTTTCAAGGATGTTTTATACAGCAAAGCCATGTGGTGAGGCAGGTACACAGTGGGACAAAAAACCCACTTTCCAGTCGAGTCCCCCTTCTGTCTGTCTTAGGTAGAAGCTTTCTTTCTCCCAATAAATTTTTCCTACTCTTAAAAAAAAAAAAAAAAAAGAGAAAGATTAGGCAATTATAAAGTACAGGTGCAGTGCAGAGGCTCAAACAGTAACAAAAGCTCTTGTACTTCTATGTGCTCTACATACAATATACATCTTTATGTACATCTTTACTTAGCACTGTAATAAAATTCTGAGTAAAATATGTTTTTAAAAACGTACTTTGGAGGTCTAATTTATCTAATAATGGTGCTGTTTCCCCCCACAAAATAGGTAAGCACTACTTTTATTCATCGGGTTTGCAAACTGCACTGCTATATGAGTTAATGATTCAAGTTAGGGTTGAAATATTTTAACAAATGACATTAGGGGCAGCAGTAAATATCTTACAATGAACTAAAATTGGCCTAAGAAAAAGTCAACATGACACTGATGGTATGTCTGCATTTCTATGCAAGATGATTATTTTCGGTCACTCATCACAGCCACGTTCAAACGACATACATTAATAACTGGGCAAAGTTAGAGACAGTTTGTAGCAGGAAGGTTCCCACATAAAATACCGGTCTCGGGCCGGGGATTTAGCTCAGTGGTTTCACCACCTGCTGCACAAGCACAAGGACCCGAGTTCAATCCCCAGTACCAAAAAAAAAAAAATACCGGTCTCTACACGCATGAAACCTGTGGCCCGCACCTCATTAAAATTAGGACCAGAGGTCGGGGATTTAGCTCAGTGGTTCTGCTGCCTGCCTCGCAAGTGCAAGGTCCCGAGTTCCATCCCTGGTATCACACAAACACGCACACCAATTTAGGACCAAATCAGTGAGCTAACTGGCCTACTTTTGCAACTGTGCAAATATAAATTACACTTCATTTTGCCTTGATTATATCTGACCCAAATAAACTATGAATACATAATTATACAGCATTTACATTGTTAAGCTGTCATTTATCTGAAAAATAAAAACGAAGCTTTTTTCCTATTTATTAAATTCTTGGAAAATGCAATGGATATTCTGTACTATAATTTATAACCACATCTTCATTGAGTTTTGCAGATCATAGTTTTGTTAAGAGAGACCTTAGAAATAAGTGTGCATAGAACACTGATCAACCTCTAACAGGTCTCTAGCTTACTACTTTCCCTATTAATCAAGCACACAACTGACTTTCTAAGCTTTGGTTTCCTTTATGTGAAATGAAGATAGTATCTACCTCATGGGATTACTAGGAGTCATTGATACAGTCAAAGATTTAAACAGTGCTAAGCACACATCAGATTTTTCTTTCTGTGACAAAATACCTAAGATAGCCAAGTTAAAAGGCAGAAAGACAGTTTTTTTGTTTTGTTTTTTTTGGTACCAGGGATCAAACTCGGGACCTTGTGCTTGCAACACAGGTGGTGGAACTGAGCTAAATCCCCGGCCCAGAAAGACTTATTTTGGATCACCGTTTTAGAGGTTTCTATCCACAGTCACTTGGTCCCGCTGCTTTCCAACCTGCGGTAGGGCAGGAGAGCATGTGGAGGAAACTGCTCACATTACCGTGGCTGAGACATGAAAAGGAGAGAATGGGGCAAGGCCTCTCATACCACCTTCAAGGGTGTGTGTAGCCCAGTGACTCAGCGTACTTCCACCAGGTCCCACCCTGTAAAGGTTGCACCACCTGCCAATACTGCCACTGGCTGGTGACCAAGGTTCAGGGTTTGGGCTTTATTAGGTTTGGGGGATATCTACGATCCAAATCACAACAGCATTCTCAACACTGATTCTCTTTCTTACTAAATTTGCAGTTCTCCCAAAGGGTGTGCAAAAGTATTTCAAGATCAACTTTCCACCTCCTCTGTAAGGAAAGGGCTGTCAGTACCACTCCATGTACAGGACCTCATGAGGAAAACTGTGTACAGGATTTCACAATTACCATTTTCTGAGTGCTCATGCTAACACACAAGGTGTGTTTATTCTTTAAACCACTCTCTCTGTTAAAAAGGAAAAACAACTTACACATCAAGCAAGCTCTTTCCAGTTGCACCATCTTGGCAGCAGCTCTGAGAAGCTATCAAAGTTGGTGTGATCAGATCAGTTTATAAGAAAAGCCTTCCAAAAATAGCCATAGAAGTCTCCTGAAAGAGAAGGCTGAGATTATTTTGGATTGGCCAGACCTTCACTGAAAGATTCTCCGCAAAAGCTGCTGGTTGTGAATTAGCAGTGTCAGCAGCAAGTACGCAAGTGCAGAACACAGACATTTGTCGCTTGAGGGACGAAAGAGGAGAGGAAGGTTTTCCTAGAACATAGTGTCTTTCTAGCCTAGAAGACCGAGGCTTTTGGTGAAAAAGCATCTTACCAGCTCTCAAAAATTTACTACTAAGTGTGCCTAATTGCCATGGCTAAGGGGTGCTCAAAATAAAAAATAGGAAGCAAAGTAAAAAATAAAAATAAAAATAAAAAACAGTTTAGTACAAAAGGAGTCTCTAGCTGTTATTACAACTGTGGAACAGCAACTGTGGTTAATGTTAGAGAAAAGCAAAGCATGCAGAAAAGTTTTCTTTGTATTAGCATAGAACAACTGAAAAAAAAAAACCCAAAAACTAGGTAAATGGCAGAAATAAGGTGAAGTTACAAGATTTCATCAAAATATACAGTAAATGTTTAAAATTTTATTACACTATGACACTGCCATTAAACTCCCTAGAAATGTTCCCCCCTTGCTTCAAACACACATAACTCATTTTTGCCACTTTCTGAAGCAGTTCTTTACTTTGAATACTGCTGCTATGTGATATCCAATGGAAAGGCAGGTTCGTAAGAACATGATGGTGCGTCCTCCCCCACCCTATTAAGAGATCTGGGACTCTGTGACTCCTGGCTCTTCCCTAAAGTCAAAATGTCCATGAAAGGGAAACATTTGAATCAGTTTAGGACACTGAGGCAGCCATGACAGGGCAACTAAATATTCACAAAAGAGGACTTCCACAACTGCTTCAGAAAGTGACAAGAATGATGAGATAATTGTGTTCAAAGTGGGGGAGTACGTGAGGGGGATTAATGGTAATATGTCTTTTACTGTAAGAACTTTTTAAGTTCAAACATTCGCTGTACTTTTCAATCATACCATGCATTAGCAACTAAAATACGCTCTTCATGGATCCACCACCTTTTTCAGCTCTGAGCTGAAAGCAAGGGCAGAAGCTCCTCTGGAACAGTCTGTAGCCAGAGCTCGCTGTCCCCTTCCCACAACCATTCACTAGTAACTGTTCTGTCAGCTTCCACACCCACTGCAAGACTGTCTTTGATCAAGGGGTTAAAGGGCATACAAATCATTACAAAAAACTATCCCAAATTTGCACTTCATAGAATAAAACAAGATAATTATGCTAGCTAGATCTGGCCCAGATCTCTTTTAGTAAACAACCACTATTAACAGAATAGCAGGGTTTACCCTGTGGTAGTAGCTTGATCCACAGTGCTATTGGAGGCTCAATCCAGATGCCAATTTTGTTATCATCTTCTTTCCAATTACCAGTCTCCATCCAGGAGCAAACACTTTTCTGATCAGAGGCAACTGCATGTCAAAATGAATAAATTCAGATGCAGAATTTCGTACTGTTAGTCTACAATGCAATCAAAACGAGCTGAGAGGGCTATCTCTATGTAAAGCTTAATAGGAAGAAATGGCTGGGGACCATGAAATGTCTATATAAAGAACATGAAGTAAGCTCCACATGTCTACGATTACTTATCTCAAATGCACAATTCACATACTGCATACAACTTCACCAATTCTACTTAAACTTTTCCATACTTCTGTACTTCTAATAAACTTCCAAAACTAGAAATTGTTATTAAAATCAAAAGGAGAGGGCCCAGGGATTTAGCTCAGTGGTTCCGCCACCTGCCTCGCAAGCGCAAGGTCCCGAGTTCGATCCCCGGTACCAAAAAAAAAAAAATCAAAAGGAGAAAATTAGAAACCATAAGCTTAGGAGTAAAAGGAAATAGTTCTTGACCATGAAGCATATATTATATGTATTTACCTCAATGACTTCTCTTTTGCCCACAATGTATCCAATTTAATATGGGAATTGTTTACATATCAACAGAGGTAAAAAAAATTCTAGAATTGTTATCTATTTTTTCCACAAGAAAAAATATTTGTTCCTGATTCATCAAACTATACTTTCTAAACATTCTTTATTTTTAAATTATCAGAACACAAACAGTAGAACAAAACCTTGCACACAGGAAAATCATGATCAAAACAAACCAATACTTTTCAAATATTGGGAAAAGCAATAAAAGTAATTATACTGGAGAGGCTATCCTTTATAATCCCCAAATTTAAGAGAAATCACGTAATATTCCCATACTAACTAAAATTATCAAATACAAAGAGGGTAAGAAAATAAATTACTAAAAATTTGAGTCCCTTTATTGAGTAGGGAGTTTACTGGCAGAAATCTAACGAACATGGTAAATGAAAATGTGGTTTGGAGCTTTAACAAGCTTTCCACTACAGTTAAGTCAACTAACAGACCATACAATCACATTCAGTGCACGAGTTTAGCCCAAGGACTTAGAAACCTCTCACTGTATAGTTAATGAATTTACTACCAAATATCACTTTAATAATTAAATATATTAGCCAGGCATGGTGGTGCATGCCTGGAATCCCAGCACTGGGTGGCAGAGAGTGGTACTGAAGCAGAAGATCACAAGTTGGAGCCCAGCCTGGGCAACTCCATGAGACACTGTTTCAAAATAAAAAATAAGGACAGGCTGGGGATATCGTTCAATGGCTTGGGCTCATTAGCAATGTTTAGTCTATAGAGTCTCTATGATATTTTAAAACTGCACAAAATGTTAATTCTGCACAGTAACTCTTAATAAAGTAGCAATCTTTTAAAATTCTGAAGCCATGGAAAATCAGGCTTGATATAGTTTGTGGAGAAAAATTTAACGGGCTTTTAAACTATCAAATCTGTTTTTTATCCACCCCCCGCCATGAAGAGAGTATTGAAATATTTCTCTAAGGCAAGCCATTCAACATTATAAATAAAAGATTATTCCTCTCTTTCTTCATAATTTAATGAATTAATAATGTTTTCTTAGCCAACAACACAGGTAACCTGCATTATGTCAGATATATAAAACCAATATAGAAATCATTCAAAAGCTTTGAAATATCAGAAATGAAGCCTTTCTGCATTTGTAAATTAATGGCTTTTGATGGGGAGGAAGATCTAAGGTACGTGACGATACCGTAACACCTTAAAATCTGTAATGAAAGGGAAAACCTACTCATACTGGTTCTTAAAACTCATGTTATAATATAAAACAAGTTTGTCATTTTAGCTGATTTCAATGTTTATACATGCAATATAAATTACAAATATGTATACTAGTACAACACCATCCAAAAGAAAATGATGTAAAAAATATGTATGATAAATAATATTATTGCATTTAATTTCATTTTCTTAAAAACCACAATCAAATTCTTTAACATATCAAACAAACAAGGTCAGTTCAATTAGAGAAAATGTATGCCAATACCAGCTCTGACAACAAAAATAAAGAAGTGAAAGCCCTACCTACAATTTGTCTAATTTAGGTCAGGTAACATGAAAACAGAAGGATTATTAAAATTATTTATTTTATAATTATGCACATTGAAGGAAAGTGTGACAGCAGAGTTCTTTTCCACCATAAAATTATACCCATTTATTTAGCTGGAAACACGAGCTTGAGAGGTACCAGTATATTCCATTTGTAATAATTTCTCGACAGCAAACAATTGTCTTGTATTTGGAGCATGTTGAGAAAAATAATGCCTCAATAGTCTTTTCTGACTATTTCCTTTGAGTCTCAATCACTAAGAGTTCAAAGTACTTTGGGAGAATCCTTGTGTCCTGCGTGGCCTGATGAATGCATTAAATCAAGCAGTGTATTTGTATCCTGAAAATACTCTTAAATCCATGTAAATGTTGTGTGGCTTGTGGAGCTCAGATTTCTCCTACTGGCACTATGACATTTGGAGCACATTTGTTATGAAAGTTTCACACCGATTTTGTTTTGTTCCTTCTTCATTAGCCTCTGTGCTTCCTTTTCCATTTTCTTCCTTTGTTGTTCTGCTGCTCTCTTTTCTCTGTCTGCTATTTTCTGTTGCCTGAAAGAAACATATTCGTTATCTTTTAGAAAACACCACACAGGTAAAATGGTGAAAAAGTTCTAGGAAGAAATAATAATCCCTTTTTATTGTCATGAAGTAAATATTTAAAGACTTAAATCTTCTCACTAAAAAAGACTTCAAAAGCAGCATTCCTGCTAATCTTTAGAACTTAACCTGTCAAACAGAGGAGGTTTTATCTCTATTTCACAAATACGTGAAATGAGGTATAAAGGCTTTGATTTGCCCAAAATCACAGGATTAAATACAGGGGATAAGAACGCACATCATTTTACCTTTTCCTTCAGATTATTTCCTCTTAAAGACTACCTCCATTCACCACAGCTTTTTCTTTGGAGAAGGGAATACCATTCTTAAAGGCTTGATATTGAGGATTAAATTTCCTATTGTAATAGTTAAAACAATCAGCTAAAGGATGCTAAGAATACGATTGTATGTAAGATACTCCAAAAGAAAATGGATACTTAAGACATACTTTCCACCTACAGCTAGAGATCTACTTAAGGATTACCATTTGACCAGACCTACTAAGGATCAGAGTGGTGGATATTTACTAATTCCACGTTATGTATACGTTGTCTCCATCTTAAATCCTACTATAACTCTACCAGTCCTGAATCACAAAACTTCTCTATCCTTAATGACTATGAGTGGAGGCAGGACTTGAGTGATGAAATAGGAGCGAGGAGAAGAACGCATGTTGGTCTTAAATTTGAAGGGTTAGGGTGTGAGAAAATAATTCAAGAAATATTCAAGTTTGAGGAAGGAAGAAGTAGGTTACAACTGGGAATGTGACAGCCAATACTAGGTTACATCCAGTAATTGTTACTATATATGGTAGCATCTGCACAAATTAAAGCTATCAAGAGCAATGGTTCTCAAACACAATATGAAAGAGTACTCAGGTACAGATAACCAAAATTTAAGAAAAGTACAAAACCTTATTTCGGGCACCATTTTGACTTTCACCATCAATTCTCTTAAGTTTCTAAAGAACAAAAGAAAATCTACTTTTCAACTAGCTCTGCTCATTTGCAAGAAAAACTGATAATAAGCACCAAAAAAACTAAAACTCTAGCAGCACAAGAGACAAAAAAAGTACTATAAAAGATTAGCACAGTTGTAAACAAGGTAACTGAGCTTCGACATGGTTATTATTAGCTGAAATAGAAACATCAGCAACTGATGCTCCTGGCACAAGAAGAAATTTGGATTTCTCTGAAGACAATATATACATTTGTCCAGATTCGTGCCTGAAATTGCTAAAGTACTGGAGTATTTTTCCTTTAAAAATACTAATGATAGTACTGGAACATTTTACAGTGGCAACTGGAGGAGACACAAGATGGTATGGGCATGGATGTACTTTAACAATCTTCAGTGCAGTAACAACATAGGGAGGTGTCCACATCCCTTCCTCTGTACTTGTGCTGCATGAAGGATGTCTGCTGTTGACTAACAATCTCACTCTCCCAAGTTGTTTTAATGTGATTTTTAAAATCATTTTTGTTCTGTTAGGGAGCAAAAAACGGGACAGAAGAGAAGGTTTTGGTGCGTTCGGTGTTAAGATTTTTGAGAGCTCATGGGGTAAACTTTATAGTACTGACATTAAGATTACTGATTCAAAATGAACGTCTCTTTTCAGTGTAGAGGTCTTTTGCTTCCTTTGTTAGATTGATTTCTAGATATTTCATTTTTTTTAGATGCTATTGTAAAAGGAATTATTTCCCCAATTTCTCTCTCAATGGGTCTGCTATTTGCGTATAAGAAGGCTATTGTTTTTTGAGTATTGACCTTGTATCCAGCTACTCTACTGAATCTGTTAATTAGGTCTAGAAGACTTTTGACTGAGTTTTTTGGGCCTTCTATGTACAGCATCATATCATCAGCAAATAATGACAGCTTCACTTCTTCCTTTCCTATCTCTATTCCTTTTCTTTCTTTCTCTTTTCTAATTGCTATGGCTAATGTTTCCAGAACAATATTGAACAGGAGTGGTGATAGTGGGCATCCTTGTCTTGTTCCTGATTTTAGCATGAAAGTTTTCAGTTTTTGACCATTTAGTA